CACCTGCCCGGTGGGTAAACCACAGCCTTCAGCGTGGGGCCGCGAAAACGGCGCTGGAGCGGATGTGAACCCCGGCATGCGCGGCGAGAGGCCTGCCGCCCTCTGGTGACAGCCGCCACGGGCGGAAGGACCCGTCGCGGGGGGACATTTACCCACCGAAATCAGCAGCTAGAGACCTGGCGGGGTTTTCAAGCGTTCCGCCGTGGCTGGGGCGCCCGATCTCTACAGAAACCACGCAGGCGGCGCGCGGCGTGCTCTCGGCGGGGGCGGGGGGGGGTTTTTTTAAAAAGGTGGGGGAAGACGGAGGGGATGGCTGCGTGACGGGAGCTGGGGCTGTGGGCTTGCTGACAACCCGCCTGTGGACGTGACCCTTCTGGTGAGGTGTACAAGGGGCGCAGGCTTGTCTCCGGGGTTTCCAGCCTTCTTTTAGCTTTTACGGAAGGAGCGTGGAGTTTGCTGCTGTTGTGGGAAGTGTACGGTAGAGGAATGCCGTGCTGTGCCTTAGGGTATTTTAAAAGTCACTTCCACTCAGTGCCTTTTTAAAAAGCACCACACAAGCACAGATCTGCTCATGGACCTGTCCTCCTCTGCCTGAATTGTGTCCATTAGCCTTAGCAAAGAGGGGAGGTTGGGACCCGTGGAGAGAGCAGCAGGATTGAACCCTGACACAAAGGAGAGTCTCGGCAAACTTGGTAACGCATGCAGAAGGTGAACAAGGTCTGGCAGGTGAAACAGGAGAAAACTGCCACTGCGATAGTACTAGAGTTACTTTTGGCTGCGCTCTGCTTTAGAAAGGGCTTGAGGACTGGGAGAATTAAGTCATCCTGTAAAGCCTCGTCACCGCCTTACTTCACAGCAGCAGTTCACATCGTGCGGGTCTTGGCGTGAGCAAGCGGCGGGGCCCTGGCAAGGGACTACATGTCCCAGCATGCACTCCGCTCACAGCCCAGCTGCCCGCTTGGGCATCGGCAGGCTGGGATCTACAGCCTCCTGGCAGCTCTGCCTGTGCTGAGGGCAGGGCAGTGGTGGGAGCTGGGTGAGCGGGGAGGTTTGCACAGGGTTTGGATCGGAGTGGGACACTGCTGCCGCGGTGTCTCTTGCAGAGGAGATGGCACCCGCCTTTGCTTCATCTGCAGCAGCTGCTCCCATAATGTTTTGCCGGGTTCCTGCTGACTATCGTGGGGCCCGAACGTGTCCCTTCCCACAGACCCTGGGGTGGCCAGGATGCGTGGGGACAGCAGAGCCCTCCTGTCGCTCCAGCCACAGAGCTGCGGTCCTCGGGGAACTGGGCTTCTGGACTGAGGTCCAGCCTGCAAGCGGGGCAGGGCTGGGGCCCTTTCAGCTCTGCCACTCATCTTGTTTCTCTTCCCCGTGTGAAAGGTTTCTTACTCGCTGCCAGAAGAAAAGCTGGTGGGGTCACCCTGCGCTGACTTTGGGGACCCCGCTATTTACAGTACAGCTCGCTGAGGGGCTCCCCCACTCCGCCATCTTTGCAGCAAGCTGGGCAGAGCAGCTCTCGATGCTCTGTTCTTCATGTCTGCCCTCTCTGCAGAAATGGACTTTAGGGAATTTAATTTTACTGGTAGGGTTGCTGTTTCACCCCCGGCGGCTTCCTCCAAGGCAGATGAAGCACCCAGTCCCTGCGCGCTCCCTCTGCTGTGGTGCTGAGCTTTCCCAGCCCCTGTTCCATCAGCAGTTTCAGGTCTTCTGAGCACGCGGAGTCGGAGGAGGAAAGAAAGTTCCCTCCCTGAGCTCAAGGGACCTCTGAGGCCAGAGGTCTTCCGCTGGTCCATCTGCGCTGCTGGTCTTCCTCCTTCTTGTCTGCTACCAGCTGCTTCCCCGGCACATTTCTCCACAGCCACGCTGAGCAGCAGAGGCCAGAGATGCTCGGACCTTCCTCACTGCTTCTGAGTCTGAGGGTGGTTCAAGGGGATGGTTATTGATCTGGCTCTTGAAAGTCAATGACTCTTGACTCTTCCTGAGTCCTTTACCTGCCTGGGCCTGCCCACGCTTGTCCCCGGCTAGATTTGGTAGGCACCATCGTGTGCTGTCTGGAAATGCACAGTGCCTGGGGGCCAGGACACCTCCTGGATGCAGAATAAGAAAACGTGTCATTCGTAGGTATGCGACCACAGATGTGAAAGGAGAAAGTGAAGCCGTATTGGTTAGAAAAGTGGTGTCCTCAGCACGCTCTCAGTGTAGCTCTAATCAAATCATCGGAGGCTTCCATGGCTGGAGGAATTAGTAAGTCAGGTTTGAAGCAGGACAGGTGTGAAGGGCAACGCGGGAGAAATCCTGAAGGGTGACATTTGTATGCTAACAGATGGCTTGTGGAGGGTGTCGTGGGTTACTTGGCAGTGAGAGTCTTCTGTGGGAGGGTTTTGCCTGATGCCTCTCCACCGCACATCACTCCCAGGGACCACGTTCTTCCCGTGGGTTGTGTGGGTTCCTGCGTCCTGGCAACACCATCGCATGTTTCTGATCCTTCCTTCTGTCTGCAGCGCCTAGCAGCTCTGCTCCCTGGAGCTTGTTCCTTTGTTTTTCCGTTTTGCTTTTGCTCGTGAGCAAGTGAGCCAGGTCAATATAACCTCTAGAGAACTTGGTCTCACAAAGTTTGAGGTTTGCTTTAAACATGGTTTTCTTTGACCGGGAAGTGTCCTTGCAAATCCTCATCCTCGTTTTGCCTTTGCTCCTCTGTTTCATAGTCTTGCTTGCTTGGCCTCGTGAATGGCCAGCTGCCAATTAACATGTTTTCCCCCTGTTTCTGTCAGTGTCCTCGGCTGGTTGTGAATCCTGAATGAAGAGCAGCTGAGCTCACATGCTCTGCGTTTCAGAGAGCTTTTTCAGGACTGGCCAGTGGCTTGCAGTCATACTCGCCTGTGTTGTGGCCTGGACAACCCCCCAGCGAAGCAGTGTGATGGTAGAACAATACTTGGATGGGAAGCCTCCAAAGGAGTCCTGTGTGCTGCAAAAAGTGCAGTTAGTGATTCAGCTGGAAGTGCTTTTTAGTAACGAATCCCTGTCTCGGGCCAGGGCTGATGTCAACCCTGTGATTCTTCTTGTTGGAAGTGAACAAAGATGCAAAGCCCTTTATGCAAGAGCTGAGGTGATAATCCAGATCTCCTGGCTTTAGTCCATTTGGGGTAATTGCATTCTTTCTGGGGAGTGTTTTCAACCCGTCCCCGTTGGATACATCGCCATCGCTTCCTGTGCTGCAGCAGTATGTGGGTGGCAGTACTTCAGCCATGTCCAAAGCAATTCTTGTCACTGCTCAGGCTTAGAGCCTTTTGAGCCTCTCTGAAAGGTAGTGTGATAGAGCAGGGAACTTGGTGGAGGGTTTTAAATATATGTATATTTACATATACACATGCTACACTTACTGGGGCTTGTTCTGCTTGTAAGCTCTCCAAAAATATAGCCCTGGTGACTAGCTGGTACAGCTTCCAGGTGGGGCCTCTCCTGGGAGGCCGGTGCAGGTTGACCTGCTAGCTGTGTAGGTGCAGGTGACATTAAGCACCAGCTTTCTGGGTGCCTTCGTGACTGTTTTAAGGACCGGCGCACCAGCAACCTAGTGTGATGGTGCCTCCTTGCATCACGGTGTAAAGGCTGCGCTTCTGGGCGACCGGCAGTGTGGCTGCTGCAGTGCTCTGCTCGCTGGTGCTGCAGCTCTGGTCGGAGCTGGGTTGTGCTGCCAGTGGTACCGCAGGGTGGTACCCATGCGGGAGGGCAGGCTGGGGAGCGGGGACTGCCCCTAAGCAGCTTTTGCTCATCGTGCCTGAGGCCGGGGGAGTGTCAGACCTGGTTTTGGGGAGGCTGATGTTGTCCCAGTTTTCAGGACCTGCTGGGCACGAGCACCTAGCCCCCACACAGTGTGATCTCCAGTAGTCTGTAATTACAGCACTGAGAGCCCAGGGAGGAGTCTTAAACAACGTCTTTGTGACGGTGTTGGCAGGCCTCTCGGAGATTTCTATTAAGCAGTTGTCATTTTCCCCCTTTGCTGTAGCCTGGGAAACGCTGCGGCATTGGATTTGGCTTGGTCTGTTTGGGTTGTTGGGAGCGGTGTCTCCCTGCAGCAGAGTTGGGCCCTCCCTGCCCTGGCTTCACGTCCCCGTGGGGCGGTTTAGTGGGTGGTTTGTGGGGACCACAGCCAGAGCCTGTTCTTGCAGATAAACCATACGCCAGCACACCCGCTCGAGTACCGGCAAAGCCTGTGTGGTGGAGCAGCATACATACAGCTGCGCGGGTGGAGAAGAGCAAAGCCAAGGGCACAGAGAGGACTTTGCTTCCCAGTGAAATCCGGGGAAGGGGGACGGTGGCAGCGACCCTAGCAGCCCTCTCTGGGGAACCAACCGTGCACCCACCCGGAGTCACACAGGGAACTGGGGTGATAACTGGAACCCCAGGAGGGAGTCAGGGCTGCAGCTGGAGGGGCGGCCTCAGCACTGGTAAAAGACATGGCGGGATCTTCGAGGTGCTGGGGTGCTCGGGGTCTCTTGCTTCTGTGCATAGGCCACTGACTCGCCTGGTTTGGATGAGCAATTACTGCCCGCCCAGTGTTTGGAAGGTCTTCTTGGGTGGGCAGGGTATTTCCCAGCTGAGCTGAACGTGCGTCTGTCCACTTGTCTTTCCAGGTGACCCAAGACAGCCAGAACAAGCAACCCCAAGACGACGCTGTGGGTGCTGACAGCCGAGAGCTCCCTTTCCCACCTGCTTCAGCCCTACGCCAAGGTTAGCACCCGTTCAGTCATCGCCGGTTTCTCTTCCTTCACCAGGGCTGTGTGAAGAAGCAGGGGAACCCCGTGCCCTCCTCCCCTTGGCCCGCAGGGACAGCTCTGTAGAGTAGGTGTCACCCAGGTCAGGTGCGCCCACAGCCCGGGCTTGCTGGGTGCTCCTGCCTCCCGTCTTGCTGGCAGCGTGGTGAAGGGAGCCTGGATGTGTGTGACCGGTGTTGTTAAGACTGTTGAACCCTGCACGCAGTTGTCAGGAGCTCAAGGGCAGTGTGTTTTAAGCCCTTGGGAACTTGCAGTCTGTGCTGCTTGCTGCACTCGTCCTTCTGTGTACCAGCAGTGTTGAATGGGAGCGTTTCCCAGCTCCTGGTCTCTGCTGCTTGCTGTCCCTCACCTGAACAAACAGAGCTGAGACTTCACCCAGAGCTCGTGGCAGACGTGATCCTGCTTTCTATCAGAACCAGTTGAGCTCTGCCTGCATTTTCCCAGGATTTTGTAGCTCGAGGAGGCCCTTGGCCATGGTGTATGAGGCTTAGAGTGACAGTGAAGTGTTTCAGGAGGACTGGTAGTCTTTGTATTGCCACTGTCAAGAAATGTGAAGGTCAAGCCCTCGCTGCTCTGAGGTAACCAGCCTGGAGCAGACTGAGATGGCTGTGGGCTTCCCGCCCCGTCCCTGTGCCTGGAAGCTTGCGTGCCTGCCTGGGATCCAGCAGTGCCCGCCCTGCCTGCACGGTGTGCTCTCACCAGGAAGGGAGCCCTCATCAGCACTGTGCCTCTGGGAGGGCAGGCCGAGCCCTTCTCTCGCCCCAGGGCTCAGGTACGATTTGGCCAGGAGAGGTTACATAGGGAAGCCGCTGTTTAGGACGCGCGGCTGCCCAGGCTGCGTGGCTCTTTCTCTGAAGTGTCTGCCAGGGAAGTTTGGGGCCAGTCCAGAGACAGCTGGAGACTGGGCCTCAGGCCATCTCGTCCTTCAGCCTGATGCTGAAGTGGTACCCACAGCAAGTGAGGCAGGGGTAGATTTACCTGGGAAGTTAAAAGGAGGGAAGGAAGGGAGAAGTCCTTCCCTCGTGTCAGTGCTGCGTGCTGCAGACTCCCAACCACACAACGCAGTGGTGGCAGAGCCAGCCCCTTTATCCAGCTGAGCCGTGGCAATCACTAATGCCTGCTCCGTGCTGGGATCTTGTATCTCTCTTAGTGATGGAAAAGAGACATGTTATGTGGCTAAGACCAGAGAAAAGGTTTGCCCTCGGTTCTGCTGGAGCTGCTTGCAGATCCCAGTCCCCCAAGCTCACAGCATCCTCTCAGGGCACCCCTGCCTTTTGACAAGAGGCATTTTAACACAAGGCACACCATGTTGGATCCACTTTTCTCCTCCCCGCCCCCCTTGCTGACCAAATAGCTTGATACCTCCAGGGACAGCAAGTCTCCCATATATGTGTAATGCAGCAGCTTCTCCCATTACTTGGTCATGGCATGAACCTCTTCTCTCTGGTTTGGATATTGCGTAACCCAGGTGACATCAGCGAACTTGTATTCAGGCTAAATTAACCATGCTGGTTCAGTTTAGTGCAGCTGGCAGTAATCTGGAAGCCGGTACAGCTTGCAGACCCTTGGACGGACTTGCAGTGCCTCTGTCGGGAATGGGATGGAATGCTTTGCTGGCAAACTCAAAGACTGGGCAAAGTGGAGGTTATATCTTCAACAGAAAGTGGTCAGCCTAATGTCCTTCAGCTTCCTCTTAGCGTGTGTGGGCTGCCATTCCCCCTTGGTCTGACCAGCTGATCTAGGAGTAGGTTTTCTTTCCACTGGAAACCCCAAGGAAATGCTGCCCCGCCGCCCCAGAGATGGGGTCCTGGGTTCCTCGTGAGTATTGGCACTGGAGTTATGCGAGGAATCCCCTCCTTGCCCTGCCATCTCTTTTGCAAGTAGGTCGGGCATTCAAAGATCCTGTTCATGGGAGTGTTGGGACAGCTGGATCCTTGTTCAGTTCTCGCTGCTCCCAAGAATGGAGCAGAGGATCATCTGCTGAGGCTAATTTTAGGTCTCCGAACATTGCCGGTGTCCCTCTGAGCTCCTATTTGTGTGCGATCCTGCGGCTCCCTGCCTAAGAGCTATGTGACAGTCCTGTATCCTCGTGTGTGAAGGTTTTGCCGGGGCATAGTGTCCCAGGGATTAGGAAGAACTTCGAATTCCTCACTTACCTAAAGTGTCTAAGCCATATCAGATGTATGTGTGACCCCTTTTTTTTAGCCCTAGCGCCAAGCGCCCTTTGGACCTTGCTTTGTGGGTGCCCACGCTTTGCGCGGTGGGAAGCGGGCTGCAGCTTTCCAGCCTTTCCCTGCCAAAAATGCAGCATCCCTCCTGTTTGCAGCAGTTGGTTCCCGTTGTCTCGGGTGGGCGCATGTGGTGCGGAAAACAGTCTTCCGCAAAGCCTCTGGGTGTGGAAATACTCCAAAGCCCACAGCCAAGTGAGACGAGAGCCCAGCTCTGGCCCGCTCTGTACGGCTGGATGCTTGGCATTTGCCACTGCCATCCTCCAGCCCACCACAGGGTGAGGCTTCCCGGCCTCTCCCTTGTTGGTACACCTAAGGCTTTTGGCCTCTCTGCACTTTTTTGGTTTCTGTCTGCTCAGGTGATTTTTTTCAGCAGCGCTGAGCTTTGCTGAGTTTCGTGTTGAGGCAAGACGTGGCCCTGCAGTTTTGGCCCATCTTTATTTTTAGCCTGTGTTAGACACGGTTGATGGTATCAGAAGGAAGTTGCACGGTCTCCTGAGCTCCGTGACTCATCCTGGATCAGGACCGAGGCTTCGCTAGCTTCTGCTATAACCCTCAAGTGATGTAACTGGTTGTGGTGGGCCCTGCTAGATCTGGGGAAGGGCAGAATGGGGAGGGAAGCGGAGCTTTTAGAAGTTCTTTTTCATCCATCTTGTTAAGTTGTTAAATTCATTCATTGACAGATATTGGCAGGTATCACACCCGAGTGTGGTTCAGCAGGGTCCTTTGTCTTCCCCTTGCATCTTGTGCCTGTGTAGGGGAGGTGAAAGGGAGAGGAGCTCTGCTCACCCGCCGGGTGGGGTAATTGTTCAGGTGCACGTAGCAATGGCAGACAGCAGTTTTTAGGCCAGGAAGTGAAGCAGGATCCTGTCTCCTGCTCAAGCCACAGCGAGGTTCAGTGCGGCAGAACAGAACTGCCTGAAGTGGAAATGGGCTGGGACTGGAGAGCGGAGACATAGGAGGTGCCTGCCTGGTTGCAGCAGGAAGAGTCTGGGACCTCCATTTCCATCAAATCTGGTGCTGCCACAAGGTAGAAAGAGCTCGTGGGGCTTTCTGACCGGCAGGCAGCCGTGTTGGGTTGGGCTGGGGCAGGGGCTGCGTGTCACCACCAGGGAGCAGGCAGCATGGGACAGGCGGTGATGTTGAAGCTGCCACAGCACAACGTGGGGTGC